TTTGATTATGAGGTGTTCGTAGAGGTCTGAGTAGAGTATATCTATGGTTTTTAACCATGGTGAGTATTTGCTTGTAAGTTTCCTGCCAATCTCTGGTAAAATTGTGTTTCCTTCAGCTCATAGATTAATTACGTAGTACCAAAAAAAGATGTATGTGACTATGAATATCACAACTGTGATTCAATGTTGTATATATAACGTAAAAATTGAGATTTTGTCCAATAAAGCTAACAATATTGTTGTATACAATATTATAGTCATGTGATGTAGTGTTCTCAAATTACTGTAAAGGGGTTAATTATTCACTGGGTTTTAATTTGGCTTATTTCGCTGACTGGGAAAAGGCGCTAAATTAAAACCCAGTGAATATGTAAAATTTAGCATAGAACACATTGTCTAAATGATAAAACCGTGAATTTAAAACCCACTGAATATGTCTGAAATGATAAATCAGTGAAATTTAAACCCAGTGAAAATTAGTCATTTTACAGTATGTTGATCGCAGACAACGCTGAATCCCCTGGTTTCTTTTTTCCATTTCTTTTCGTCACTAGCTATGACCTTCAAATTAACTATTGACAAGTAACACATCTTTGACTGTATAAGGTTTCTCTTTTGACTGCTGTTAATTGATTGACTGAATGCACTTGACCCAGCACATATTCATATTAAAACCCTTTGGGAAAAAATATGACATCATAGTCACTGTCTCTAGATAGACATACATCTGAGCAATGTCACTACTGTACTAGGCAGTAGTAAAATACACAAAACAGTAAATAAAATATTTGTACAAAACTAAACAAAAATGCTTTCCTGACAGTATATCTACTCAGATACTCAACTCATTGTACAGTATTTTACTGAATACCATATTGGCTCTATTAATAGAATGTGCACTTGTGTAAATTATAGAGGTGTTTCTGTGGTCATAGAAAGTAATATTTTAATGATCTGTGTACAACAAATGTAAGTTTTTGTTTATATGCACTTCTATTGGAGATGTGCTTCTAATAGAACTAATACAGTATACATGTTTCATTAAAAGTCAGCTGGAAAAATAAAATAATGTCAATGTTCATTTATATATTTTCTCTTTAATTTTGATTGATTACAAAAAATAATTAATGAAATCAATAGCTATTGAATTGAATTGCAGATTGTAATAGTTTCTTTTCAATTAGAAAGTGTACTTTGTTTCTCAGACTAATGGCTTTCCTTGAAAGACATCATTATTTTGTAATAATCATTTATTCCTTTATTTGATCTGCACTTAAATGCCCTGTCTGATCAGATAAATATATTATATTCCCTCAAGTATTAAGTACTCAGGGAATTATGACGTAATACTTGTTAGTTTAGGAAAAACAAAATGAAGTATGATTTTAATATCTCCAATTTGATTTTTGAGGTAACAGTATTGAAGGTACCGTAAATACCGGTACTCTAATTCAGGCGTCATTTTTCAAATATTTCTATCTTTCCTGGTGCGAAAGGACTGTTTTCCTGCTTGTAAAAAGATCATGCTGTTTTTCCAACATCAATGTCAAAAGATCATACTGCCAATTTAGTTTGTCTCCAATGTAACCTGAACTTGTATTTGACCACTATTGGGCCCATTGTTCAGAAAACACTTTCCACTTGAAACTTCACATATACAATACATTAGACACAATTTCACAATCAAAGGGTTTTAAGGGTCTTTTTGGTCAAAATACCGATATGTAATATTTTAATGTATAAACTTTGCATTGACTAATTTCATTCAAACTAGAAATATTATAAGACACAGCTTCAAACGCCATAGTTTTGTGGTTCAAGCACATTTCAGAGGTACTGTTCAGAAATGGACTTGTTCTAAATGTTTCACACACTACTCTTGAATGGGGGCTATGACATGCTATACATGTCATGTATATTCAACATTTTTGTAATCACTGATTTTTTTCTCCAACATTTTTTTTCTAAAAACCACCTGTTTTTCAAGACTATCAGTAATTATTTAAATCTGGTCAAAGTTTTCAAGGTTTTATGGTACTTTGATTTTAAGGTAGTTGCACAACTTTTGGATATTTGTGTCATTTTTTCTCAGATAAAAATGTATCCAGTTCAAAACACAC